TTGTGATGTTTTAGAAGTCAAGAAGCGCAACTTTTGGCACCCCAGTGTATGCATATTCAATATAGCATCTTCACCCTCTTTTCAGGGAGTCCATGTATAGGACGTACCACCCATTCCACGTGTTCTCGGATTGGTCCTCGCCTGGAAGGGCCTCTCTTCCAGAAGCTCAACTGACGCCTGGGACCGTTGCCGAACGGCTCCAGACAGCGGCACGGAGGTGGTGCCGTGGGGCGTGCCGGGGCGGTGTCGTGGTTCAGCGTCGCCGTCGCAACTTCCAGCATTTCCACTGCAAGAAGTGGGCCACCCATCTATAGTTCCGTCCATCCAGGTCATGAAACTAGTGTTGCGAGCCTGATGATGATGATGATGTCAAATACCGTTCTATTGACAACATTGAGACTGTTGTGAAGTTGGGCAACCCCCCTGCCGTTGACCCAACCTATTGCAAAAAGCTCCTTGAACCCCCTGTGCTTTTGGAAGCTATCGAACGCTTCGTCCCTTCTGCCATGCCGCAAGATGCCCATGGCCGCTCGGTTCTCGAACGCTCGAGATCGCGACGCCGCGACGCTGAGCCGAAAGGCACCGAGCACCGAAATGCACAGGACATGCAACAAACATTCCAAAAACCAGAGGGAGGGCCATCGCTGGTAGGTTGGAGGCGATTGCTAGTAGTGACAGTAAAGCTACTACCAGGGCCCTCCGACAGATCACCAACAGAGACCTGTTAGGGTCCAACAACCCTCAACTAACAGCCTGGCCAGGAGGGTGCTGGTAGTAAGTATGTTTTTGAAGCTTTCTAGTAACAAGGACTCCCGAAGGATACCACGGCCAAAATGAAGGTACGAGAACTGGACCTGACCCGACCGCGGGCGCCTCGCGGTCAAATCGTTTCCATAATCACTGTAGCTCTAAAGGTATGTGGATCCATATGGACTTCTTCTACTCTGGCTGGCTTTGGAATCCCGGGTGATCTTTTCAGGAAATATTAGATGGTGTGGCTTTCCCTTGGTTGTGCTTGAAGTATCCAGTCCTTGGGAGATCACGAATTTGGACGGTGAACTGGCGAAATGGGGAAACCCAGGAACGCCTCAAGATGTACATGGGTTCAATTCAAGAAAAAGCACGTGTTGCTGATGATGGTGATGGGAAGCTGAGTTTCGCACAACAAATCATGACTGGATTCACCACCAAAATGATGATGATGCATGTACAACCCTGGGAAACCCTGGGAACCTTGAAGGGGGGGTTGGGAATGCTTCGCATCGTCTTCTTTCGGATCATGCTATGTCATGATTGACGTGACACTACGTGTGGCGCCCAATGTGCCTCTTCATATGAGGTGTATGAGGTGAAGGTGAATGTGCATCTTCATTTGCATCCCATCTCCCGTTCACGTCTTCCACTCCCACGAAGACGGAAGTGGAACACTCTGTGCCTTGAGAAAAGTCTTCCAAAGGGTCCAGTCTTAAAGGCTAAACAATGTAGAACGTCCAATGCTCAACCCGTTGGTCATTGGTAAAAGGTCCCTCTCCAACATTGAAACCCACCCACATAATATTTCAGACAAGAATTGACACCCGTTGGAGTACATTGAAAGACCTCACGATGAAAAGGGGCCCGAGGGTTCCGCCATGGCGAGCTGGGTCCCAAAACCATGGAATACCCTGGTGGAGCCCTGAACATGGACCACCTCTCATGCTTTTGTGAGGCTCTTGACCCACACCCACATGGCATCGCACCTTTTTCCAAGCGCCGCGTTGGTGCAGCTCTTGGGCGGTGAAGGCGAGACGCATTAGCCAGGATCGCCGCTTAAAGGCGTGACAAAGCTCCTCCGGCGTTCGAAGCATGCCATGTCTCACCGGTCCAGTTCTTGTTCGAAGCGGTCCAGGGAGTTGTCCAAGACCGGACACTCAATGGTGCCAGGAGAAAGTCCAGCCAGTTGACTCCAGGATTCCGGGCCCAAAACCTCCTCATGTCCTCTAATGCACGGACCTTGGACTCACATGCTTGGTAGACCACATGCTTTGGAGCCGACCAGCTCGGAGAAAACCACCAGTTTCCACACGAAACAGGTGCCGTAGCGTTCTGTCTCTCTCAGCCAAGACTCCCTGGAAGCCAGCACCCGTCCTGCCCTTTTTGGTGAAACCCGGCCCCCGAAACACCCAGAATCCCTCCACGATGGGGCGTTGAGCTGATCTGGTCGTTTGAAACACCAAGCCAACACCAAGCCCAAAAGCATCCCAACACCAAGCCCTTCGGTTTTTGACTCATTCTACCCCACCTGAACAAAATCAACCAAAAACTGGTTTAAACTGTTTAAACTAAGGCCCGGTTTAAACGCATAATATGTTTAAACAAGTGCATGTTTAAACCACAGAGTGCATGTATGTTTAAACAATGGGTATGGGGAGGTACAAGGTCTATGGACTAGAGTCTCTGCCTAGTCTGCTGTATTTGATCCCTAGTTCATAGTCTTGCACAACTGCTCAGCATGCCTGCCACCCTTTTTGTCAATTAGCAATGAAGGTGGCATTCACACTTTTTCTCTCTGTCCAGTCACTGGACTCACAAATCAGGGTCCGTCATGTGTGTCTCTCTCTCTCTCTCTCTGTCTCTTTCTCTCCACTTTTTTTCCCAAAACTGCCGTGGCGCGACACTCGACCGAACCGATGGCGCAGTCTCCGTCACACGCCGCCGCCCAGGTTGTCCGCTTCGACACCCTGGTAGGCCATCATGGGGAGCACGTACCAGTAGGAACCCGTGAACTTTCCAGGAGTCCTGGCACAGGATGAAACTGGAAATGCCACACTTTTGCGGAGATTAAGAAGAACACTGGATAGATGCTGCTGGCCAGCTTGCATAGAGAAAAGACTCATGTTCAAGATGATTGTAGATGCGTGCCTGGTTGGTATCGAATCTTCACAGTGATATACCGAAACGTGGCGCAACTTTGCCATATTTGTCACCCTTTCAATTGGCAGCCAACAATCACAACCACATTGGCCATTGTAACCCATGCACCTCCTAACCCATCATTTTGGGTCTAAGAATGATTTCTAGTCGGGATTCGTAAGTTAATGAAACCGCATTCGAAGCCAGTGCATCATCGGCTCATTTAAGGACTGCGACACCCTCAAAGAATTTGCCCCCACATTGATCCAATGATGGGTCCCTTCCTGTCAAAAAAGGAGACTATGTCAAAGTGCTCTTCAGTTCGTCATGAAGCAACTCAGGTTCACATCCCCCACCAAAAAAAAGACAAAAACAACACGCTTCGATTCGGATCATGATGATCATGTCTCCTGTCGATGTAGGGTCTCACGCGTGTACCCCAGTGTCGACCATCCATGGCCTCAGGTCGCAAATTGTTTGGCGAAGGCTTCGTCTGGTCGCAAGGAATACTGTGAACTGGTCGTAGGTGCCGTATAGGAGCCAAGCAGTCAAGCTCTACACGAAACCCGATTAAACGCACTTCCCAAATAGAACCAATCTATACCAGGGCCCCAGTCGGGCTGGTTCATGGACACCCCGAATCGCCTCTGGGGGGCTATTATGAGACACCCCTACACCCCTTAAAGGCCCTGGTACATACCTACACCTACACCAAACCCCTGTTGCGCCCCACCTGTTGCAGAAAAAAATACCGCACCACCAGCACCTGCCACCAGCACCTGCACCGCACTCCACCGAGGCACACCGTCGGGCGGGTATCGCACCGGCGAGTTCACCGAGGTCAACAAATGCGCGCCCTGCAGGCCTAGCGCCAAAGGCGGCCGTTTCGGTGTGGAAAACCGGTGACTCAAGAGATATTGTATGACGCTGGGCAGATATAGTGGAAGCGGTGTCCAAGACATTTTGAGTGGGATGGACTACTTTTCTAACTGATATGATTACATATACTTGTATTGTGGATGGACATGGGTGCACCCTTGGGAGATTGAGACATCCGGCGGTCCGGCAGTTCCTTTTGTTTCAACATGTTAAACAACCAAAGGCCCTCCTCTCTTTAGGGGTGTATGGTTCGTGTTGGGTGCTGGCATAAACTTGGAGCCAGGATTCTCACGGTGTAGGCATGAACGCAAGAGCCCGGCCAGCCATACATCCTTGGACAGTGCAAGCACAAGTGCAACTGGCAACAACAAGTCAATATGGAAGCCACTGGAAAGAACAACAATTCTCAACAGGGGTCAGCAATGCAAGCGCTATATACATGTTTCATGATTTTTCAACGAACAACTCTCATTCTCAAATCAGGAGCATGGAAACACTTGGCATGCACAACAATCAATGCTCCACTTGCTTGGGCCCCTGAATCTCTACAAGTGTCTTGAACATGATATACCCTGAGGCACGGCTAAACCCTCGCCGAATACATGGTCATTGATCATCAATTACCTCTGTATATTGACCCATCCTTTGGCGGCTCCTTTTCCTCCGCCAGAATGATTGACTATGACTCAATGGATATATGATAATATCGTCCTGACTAAAACGATCCACTGCGCTTGAGATTAGCAATGTTGGTCATCATCCCATCAACACGGTCTTCATCCTTCAAGCAAAAAACGCACGTATCATTTTCATTTCTTGGCTAACCTATTACCAGTAACGGTGGATGATTATGTTTAAGTTTAGAAGAGGCCTGTCTCAAAGATAGTGATGTTCTTCTTTACTGTTTCAGGTAATGGGACAAGCCAAAATATATATAATTAGCTACACGTTTCACAATTGTATCCAACGTACTGCAACTGTTCAAAGGCAACGTGGGACCTCCTTTAATTTTGGCACACGTGTTTGGAGCGGTTTACGTGCATGCTGTACTGTATGCCGTTTGGTGCTTAGGACAAACCCAAACCATTTAGGCATCGCTACTAGTCACTAGTCACAAAGGGCATTACTCTAGGAGCAAGGACGCTACTAGTAGCTCCTGGCATTACTAGTAACAAGAAGCTATGAACGTAACATCAATCCAAGACGCACTTTGGGTATGGACGTGGTATCTGCCGACTCATGCCGCGGCTTGCTGCCACCTGGGCCTCGGAAGGGCGCCGCGGAGGACGGCGCCATGCGGCGGTGGCGTCGTCTACCATGGCAGTCGAGCAGCGAGCCGCACGTGGCGATTCGTGCCGTCTGCGGCAAAAAGCAGCTTTCGCTTTTCCGGCAGAATCCACATGCTATGACCTATCGCAACAACACAGTTCTACACTCCTGGAGTGTAGAACTCGGATTTCCAGCCAGGATCACCTGGCCCCATGCGAAGCTGCTCAATGCCAGTAATTACCTTTCGAATTGCTCCCAAAACAATTTTTGCCGCTGCCCGGCAAATCTCGGTAGTTGTATACTCTTCCGATCGTCCTCGATTTCTCTGTCTTCACCGAGTGGCAAAAGCCCCAAAGGATGACGTCAAATGGAGGAAGGCTGTCCTTATTTGACAATGAGGTCTGGCTTCGGGAATCATAAGGATGGGATGGGTCAGTCATGTCTTTAAAGCGCGTACCGTATACCCTCCAGGAAAAGCTAACATGGACCCTGACAAGAGCCCAAAGGAAGATGGTATTCCTCTAGAACTATTGGGTTTCGAGGGTCTATGTCCACTCTTCGGTCACGACCGGGGGTGTCCCCCCTATAGATCAACCAACTTAATGACACAAGGCTGGCAAAGGCTAACCACGCTAGGACTTGGGGCGTGGGATCGTGGGATGCAACATGATGCAAGGAGAGAACATCAAACCAGACTGCTCCTAGTAGCGTCCTTGTTCCTAGTAGCGATGCCAGGAGCCCCTAGTAGCTTCTTGTTCCTAGGCTCTCACTGCAAGTGTGGCAGCGCCAGAATAGTTGTGGAAGCTTCTGTGCACCAATGTCAGCTCGCTGACTAGACCATCGCTGCTGACTTCCACAAATGAGAGAGAGAGAGAGTTCAAGTCAGATTGTCTCCCACTCACTAACATGGAAATGAACAATGGCTGCAAAAAAGGACAAATATCCCGAATACCAAACAGGTAATTTCCACGAAACAATGTTAGTACATGTTAGTATAGTTGGTGAGTCAGAGGGCAGTGCTTTCAGAACCTCAACGCCATCCCTTGCTGACCAACCGCAGTCACCAAGTTCCTGTGTTGGAAAATCTGAGTAATTTGAAGGTGCGAAAAGGCTGTACTAGCCAATGAAAGGAAGGGACCTGGATGCGGCACTCGCAACTGCAATTTGCCTACTGATCTACGCTTAGTCACGTCTCACACCCCACGTCCGTCCACTCGGCCAGTGGCGACGGTGGCGGCCACTCGTCCACTGAAGTTATGCGCCAAGCCCACGTCGTCTTCGAAGATCGTGGCACAGGCCCATTTCTCATACATCATCATCTCCTTAGCACTTTTGTTTGATTTCTTTGGATGTTCGTGAGCAGCAGCAGGCCATGGTAACAAGTTCATAAGACCATTGGCTGCATAACAAGTTCATAAGAAAGCATTCTGGAGGCACATGGGCGGACATGGGCCCAAGTGGGCCCAGATGTGTGATTGAACATGGTGAAACATCCTAAGACCATAGAATACCCAGATGAGATACACATCAATCTGTCCAGGGTTAAGCATATTTTGGACCACAAGTTGCTATTCAAGAATGATTCCTTAAGCTCTAGCAGCTGCTAACAGTGCTGCTAAGGCGTCGTAGATCTCGCGGTGACTGAGGGCACCTTAGCCATCGGCGCGGCCAGGTGCTTTTTGGAGGTGTCTGTGATTCACAACTCAGTAGGTTCCATGGCTTGCATGGGCTGCCGCTAGTAGCTTGGAGGCCATCGCTCTTAGGTTGGAGGCCATCGCTATTAGGTTGGATGTCTTGCATGAGCCGCCGCTAGTAGCTTGGAGACTATTGCTCTTAGGTTGGAGTTGGAGGCCATCGCTATTAAAGTGTAGGCCATCGCTAGTAGATTCCATGGCTTTGCATTTCTCCGCCCCTTCTTGGTCTTTAGATAAAGTCAAGCAACACGTCAGCACGCAAGGAAACATGTCCTTCTGAGATCTCCAAGGAAGCCTATACTCCAATTCCCTTTCCAAGGCGGGAACTCAAGACAGGTGTACCTACAGGTGAATGCAAATAGTCTGGAGTGGTTGCGCTCAATGCAATCCATTTGCAGTGAATAAAATGGAACAAACCTGGTCTTTCCGCAATTTCGGAGGTTAAAACACTTCCGATCCAATCACTTCCACCCAGCAGGAGCCACCCATGTCACATGTCACATGTGCTACGCACCGTGTTTGACTCGCGATTCCATGCGATTCAGCTCCCGACCCGCGGCTCCCGACCGGCCCCTTTCGTTCGAAGAAGGCGCAGCCAACCTTTGAGTCGCACGGGCAGTGCTTCCGCTTCGTCTCCTTCGCCAGGCCTCGGAGCTGCGTCTGTCCGCCGGTGTTCCGATGCTGGAAGCTTAGAACAGGTCAGGTGTTTGTGGCGCGGGAGCTGTTGAAATCATATTGGAATTCCATCATACAGTCATCCATATACTACCTAGATGTTCAAAAAGACTGTAATGTTTGCCTTTTCTTGGAAATCGGGCTTTAATATGAAAATGGCAGAAAAAGACGCCCTCGGGCGGATCTTCTAAATCAGGTAGTTTCAACGAGGAGCCGTAATTTGCAAACTGCAAAGCTCAAACAGGTCTACATGTAAAACAACAGAGAATTTCTGGGGTTTCAAAAAGGCGGAACTTCCCGGCATTCGGGCGGATTTACCCGAACACCCTGTTTTGTAATATGTTGTAATCGTGATTCATGACTTTTTTTGGCACTGATGTTGCGTTTTACAAATTCTGAATTTCGGGCAGAAATTTATATGTGCCTCAGGCAGAAACCTGAGATTCGGGCAGAAAAAGCAGCCTGAAACCATTCGGGCAGAAATAAACGGCTTCGGAACATCTAGGTACTAGTGTCACATATGTTCTTCTCTCTATGTTTTTGTGTCGGCCCTGATCTTCGCCCTGGCGATGAAGCTGAAACGACTCTCACTTCTAAAACTCTGAGACAGGAGTCGTCATCTGTGACTTCAGTCGGATCAGTGCCCTACCTTCAGAGAACTTCCTAACATCAAACATCAGTGCCTGTGCGTCATGAATGACAGCTGCTCCGAATGCCAAGAGGCGTGAGGAGTTCTTGAAGTTCACGGCAGGCCAGAACTTAAAGCGTCCTGGGCAAAGTCTGTGGACTCCGAAGCAAATCGAGCCAATCGAAGCGAAGCAGCTGCATATCCGGAATTCATCATGCATTCCCTTCCATCTTCAACCGACCCACACAATCCCCTATTCATTGACTCTCATTTCACTCGATAACTGCCAAGCAACCTGTCGCCCCGCCGATTTATGTTTGGCTCCATTCAGGCGGAAGGGGTAAAAGGACCCAAATATGGAAGTGGAGTCGGTGGAGTTCCCCTCTTTATAGAGGAACAGATTTCTCCAAGGGGCCAGAATGTCAATATAATTGTTGGAGGGAGGATCAGCAAACAAACAAATACACATCATCAAATCTTGACATGCAAAAAACGGTCTGACTCACAGTTGACTCCTCGAAAGCGGGTCCTTTCAGGCCCACCTTCTCGAACTCACTGTAGATGTGGTCCCTTCGCGCCTGACCACCTGGCAGGACACGTCGAAACGTTTGGGAACAAACAATGAATTACATGTGGCTCGTTGTTCGAGGGGTTTGCATTTGGAGAAACAAAAAACAGTCCTTATATAGAATGGAATGCTGTTTCCATGTCGGCTTTATGCTCACGCACCTTTCTGCTGAGCCGCATGGACCAAACTCAATCCGCAGTAACAAACAGCTACTATATAGTAGCTCCTGGCCATACTACTAGGAACAATTCAAGAAGCTATTAGGACTATTAGGAACATTTGGGGCATCGCTACGAACAGAAAGGGCATCGCGTACTCTAGTGTGTCTTTGAAGCTTCTTAGTAGTAAAGCCTTCTAGTAACTAGAGATAACTAGAGTGTCTCAAAGCTCGGGTGCTGAGATCCCACTGAGCTCCACGGTATGCCGCAGTGGCGCTAGCGAGCGAGCGAAAGACCCGACGAGTTTGAAGGACCAGGTGGGACAGGAGTCCTAGGGCTCCTGTCCCACATCCCCTAAACCCACCCCCACCACTTTGGGAGTCATTTAGGGTGTATAATATAGCCATATAGCCTTATATAGCCTATACTTGGTGGGTCGTTCACATGGGGGTTGTTCTTTTGGATGCCTTTTCTGGTCGTTTTCCGGTCCCCTCTTTCTGCGGGCGTGTTGGGGCGGGGTCCGGACGCTGAGACACCGTGCGCCTTGACGGCACCGACTCTGGCTGGTCATGGGACACAGCTTTCTCAGGGTGGTCGCGACCCCTCAAATAACTCTTGAAAGGATCTTTGAGGTGCGCACACCAAGGATCGATAGAAACACATGGTGCACGTGCCGTGACATGTCACCCCACACCGCCCACAACGGAAGCGTGACCGACGCGCACGCCGTCCACCCGACACGCCGTCCACACTGTGCGGACGAAGCGTTCCGGTGCCTTCGCCCTCGAGGTTGATGATCCTGATCGTCAAAGGTCCCACCGTTCGTCCCTCGTCGAAAGGAGAGCCAGGCCCAACTCGGAGGCGAACTCGGAGTCATATGGCCCGACTACAGCGCGACTAGAGCTCGGACAGTGGGACGGAAAGGAGGGCCCATGATTGTTTCAGGGAGTGTGTGTCTGCACAATGTTCATAAGTCTCTCAGATAGTATAGTATACAAGAGTTGCACAGAAGTACCAAGCACAGGCAATGAAATTTATGGAACCGGCAAAGAAGGAGGTACGCTTTGTACCTATAGACTGCACACATCCTTAAATGCATTTGGGAGAATATGAACACACTCTCTGTGGCACCCTCCACTCACCTATGGTCACAAGGACCTTGCGTGGACAGTAGGGGCCTGTTGTACAAATGCTTCAATTGGGCTTAATTGATGATAGACTTGTTCCTTGCTCAAGATCCAATCTTGAGGCAGCACCTTTTGGAAGGAAGCAACAAGTCTGCCAGTACAATATATGTAAAAATATGTGAAGGTACCAGATCACAAACATTTTTTTCCAGCTCATTCTGCACTCCAACCTTCCAAGCAGTTCAAAGGTTTCATTTGTGGGCTTCCAACCCAAATATAAGAAACACACAAACTGCTGCAGGAGATGCAACAACCAACCCAGGACGCACAAAAAAAACAAACTGCCAAGTGTCAGCAAATGTTCCTTGGCAAGCGCCGGGTGAAGTGGACTAGATCACTGATGTCTACTACAGATTTGACCTCTAAGATGGTAATGACCTGATCACATGGCAATGCTGCAAACAACTCTGCATGGATCCTATCTCCGAGCGAACAACTTGACATTTTATCTGACACCTCAACCCCCTGGTTTTACACCAGGAGCCGAGTCCAAAACATGGTCCCTACCATAGGCCTCCCCCTATCTCAACATACCTCGGAAATTCTTAGATACTATTCCAGACCTGTTCCACATAGATCTGGGAAAAGTCTTCCAACATGTTATCACTGTGATCCAAAACAAGAGCCACCTACCTGGCCCGTCGCGTGCCGTCGCCGTCCCAGCGGCTAATGGGTCGCACTTTAAGACCTCTGGGAGCTCCATGATCACATCCTGGCGGTCGCTCCCGCGGATGGAGGGAAAGGTCGGATGGATTTGATGCGGAACCTGGACGTCCGAAGCTACGAGGAACCAGAAGCTACTACTTCGGGGCTCCTAGCCTTACTACTAGTAACAATAAAGCTACGAACGGAGCAAAGGGCATCGCGTCTCGAACGGTTCGCGATCGGACGCGACCAAAAAAACATCTTCTCCAGAAGGGGATTGATCCGAGAACATGAACCATCACCTGAAGCAAAGCAAAGTTATGACCTTTGCCCTTGTGCACGGCAGGTGGAGCCCCTATCCGAAAAAAGTGTCACAGGAGAGTGAGGAAAGTTCTCAGCACGGAACACGCATCCAGAAGACCCCACTGTGTGTAAGAACAAGTGCTTTGTAGCAAGAAGCTTCTAGTAGCTCCTGGCCTTACTACTAGGAACAAGAAGCCACTAGGAACAAAGGGCATCACTTCTAGGAGCAAGAAACTAGTACTAGCTCCCTGCCTTACTACTAGGAACAAGAAGATACTCGGAACAAAGGGCATCGCTTCTAAGAGCAAGACGCTACTAGTAGCTGGCCTTACTACCAGTAACACTAAAGCACTTCCAGTAGCTCACTGCCACCTCGCCGTCGCGCTTGAGGAAGTCGCCCTCTAAGCGCAGCTGCGTCGGCCGACGGAGCTCCTGGGCTGCGTGGGACCGTACCAGACTGGCCGAGTGAGTGGGAGACCAAAGGGAGTGACCAATTGCCTGAGCCAAAGCCAGAAAGAGGTGGCAAATGGCAAAAGGAACGTCAAGTATCATTATGTGCGAATATATAGTGCCAAATAAAGTGTCAGACTATATGCCAAAAAGAACGCAAGAAATGATGCCAAATAGAATGTCCGCCTTGGTCATGTTGAAGCACTACAACCGTCGGTGATCAGCAGAATGTAATGCCATCAGCTGTCGGTTATCAATCGAAGTAAAGTCATTTGGGGTCCAGTCACCCGGAACTGCACCACCATCGGGTGCATTTTCGGGTGCATTCCCAGGTTCCTTACAGCCCAGGATCGGCCTCCTGAACCTCGACGAATTCCGGACAAAAATATAACATCTTAGGTTAAGGCAACTATATAGTTGTAATATTTTATATACTATTGAATATTCTATATACAAGTACAGTACACACCTAGAACATCCTAGAACATCTTCTTGGGCAGAAACCTCTGCCTATTGTGGGTAAAGGCACCTTTGTCCGTGCTTAGGCGTCCTTGTCCTCTCTAGGCGTTCTTGTCCTTTTGCTGGCTAGGCCCGGCTCAAATAGAAAAGGATCCACCCACGACGCACGATTGGTTCCAGGAGCTTCCATAGTGATGAAGTACATTTGTTTGTTAGGAAATCACTTGATGCTTCACTTTTGCAAGTTTTTTGGTGCGCTATGATTATGTTTTGTTCATTAATTGTGAATTTGATGATTTGGTGCGCAGGCCATCTTCCAGTCACTTCGGCGTTCTTACCCGTTCCTCCCTCACTACAATCACTGGTTGGGTGGACAGAAGAATGCTAGCCTTTTTGTGGGAAGTGAGTGCCATGAGTTTCAAACACTTTAGACCAGGGACTGGCGTCAGGTTCTGCCTCCTGCGTGTATGAATGCATATGATTGTGCCCCGGCGTTTTTGACCCTCGAGGCTGGGCGGAAATTATTGCCTAATGACGATCTGGGTAATGCGCACACAGGATTAAGTAACCACCCCGTATGAATCAATCCCAATACCTCCATTCTCAGACCTTGTTGACCTTGAAGGGGGGGGTCCGATTAATCCGGTGTTGTCACTATACACTCCTTCTACCGACTCAACTGCCCCGAGGAGCCCTAACTATCGCTGTCCTCCGCCCTCGCCCGCCTGGCATTGCTCGGTGAGGTTGATGGGACTTGACGACGCATCGGCGGCCACCAGCGGCGTAGCGAGAAACTCGCTGCTCCTGGGCCAGCTCCAAATGCACTCAGTGCACTCTACAGGTTGTTCAGGTGGAGTTCTTTCTTTTTCCTGGATCTAGTTGGATGTTGGAGGGTATCCTATGGCTTGGAGCCATACCCCTTGTCAGGTAGCGTCTTTAAATGATGGCTTGCAGCAAAGGTAGTGCCAGCTCAAACTTGAGAGAGGAGGGGGTGAACGAAAGGTAGCAGGCAATCACAAGTAACCCTGGTAGAAGTCCACGACGGCGTGAACCGGCGCAGGGGGGAATTGATCCAGGGGGGGGGCCCCCCCCCCCCCCGACGAACAGAATCAACTCTTACAGGACCAAATTCAATGCACAATCCCAACTCCTGATTGTAATACATTTTTGCTAAAGCAAGGAGAACTCAGGTAGCTCAAGCTACCTTTCGTGACATGTTGAAGCGGCAGAGTGTCACATCCAAATCCCCTTGCAGAAGGAAACTCTTGTCTCCACTCCACCACACCTCCCCCCCCCCAAAAAAGGTGGAGAACCTTTGCCACTCCTAAAGGGGCGCAGACCACTCTTCCAGCGACCTTGGGCACCTATCAGGTCGGAACGGTGTGCTATCAGGTTGGACGCGCCAACGCCGAACCCGTGGGTTGCCCACCAAGGCTCTTTGGCTGCAGGATGTTGCCGATGAACACGCCGAGACCTCTTGAGCACTCACTGATATGCAACTGGCTCCCAGGTCTCCAAGAAAATGTATCTGATGTCTGATGGTATCTGCCTTCATCGGATCATCCATTTTGTGATCGCTATATAGGATACAACACCGGATGCTGCCAGTTGGGTTGGGGTCGTCTTCTTCGCATCAACGACCTATAGGATTCCAGCTGATGACGTTTCAAGGAACGCAAAATACAGAGTTGATGCATCTCCGAGACTCCCAGACCCCGAAGGAGGACTCCGAAACACCTTCCTCTCGCCGCTCGATGCTCGCGAACCCCGGGAACGCTCGTCATCCCGCACCGAAGGAGGCGGTGAGGAAGAGCAACTGCCGCATGGCGAGGCCCGCGGGGGTGAAGGAGGGAACTAAAGAGTTTGCTCTTTGATCAATCGGTGATAAAACCCAAAAAACTAACAGGTTTTAGAAGTGGTTTGAAGCTGATCGAATCTGCTGTCGGGACGGGATTCAAGTCAGAAAAGGAGTCGGAAAGAAACTGGTCGGTTTGACAGACCCCAAAAGCCCTTAGTCTTCCCAGTCTGCAGCTTGCGTCGTGGGTGCTCCGCCGCGTCCAACTTCGCTCCGGCGGGGTGTGGCCACACAGGCCTTTCAATAGGACACATGAATAGCCGTAATGGCCCTAAAACCTTGGAGCAACGAGGCCTCCCGATTTGAAACCATGTCATCATGGCATGGGACTTTTATGTGTTTTTGACGTGTCTGACTCTACGTTGAGGGTAGTAATGCTTCTACGTTGAGCTGGTGAAGCATCTAGCACTACTTGATCCTGGACACTCCCCAGCCGGATATGTGACACTTCAAGTCTCAACGGTGATCATCGGTTTTCTTGTGTGAAGTTGTACTGTTCCTCTGTCTTTTTGGTTGAACGTGCAACTCGCGTCTGACCACGTCTGAGCCACATCGTCGGAACACGACGTGACGTCTTCTCCGGTGGCCCCGGACCGCACAAACGAAACACATCAGCTGGGATGGTGCAAGTGAAGCTGCCCAAAAGTGCAAACACAAAGAAAAACAACACCTGCGCCTCAAAGGAAACGACAGTTGTGCATGGAACATGCGAGAACGGATGGCAAACCAAAGGAATTCTTTTGTTGTGGTATGCTGTCAAACCAGGCTTGATCAGAACAGCATGCTGTCGAACCTCCAGTCTGTGAGAGAGAGGTGGCATTCCAAAAATTCAAACATGGATTCTGACCAAATGCCGGCACATCCTCGCACGAGAAACATGTCTTGAACCTCATCGCCATCGTATTCAACCTCATGCTGTAGTGGTCATCGCTTCTAGGGTTGGAGGCCATGGCAAGTAATTGGAGGCCATCGCTATTAGGTTGGAGAACAACATACAGTAAGTGAGTATATATATATATATGTGAGTATATATATACATAATCCTTCACTACTTTGATATCTTTGCTACCTACGCCACCGCTCCCGCGTGGATTCCGGAGGTGGTGGGTTCCCGCGCTGCCCCGCGGCGCGCAGGGAGGGAGCACGGGCACGGCCAAGGGGCTCCTGGGAGCAACGGATGATCCGATCCCGCTGTGTTTGGTGTGTGAAATGCTGAGGTCTGAGGTCTGACCATCAAATTTGAGGGACCGTTCCACCGGTGAACAAGGGGCAGCTTGGGGTTGCGCGTCGGACCGCGACGGACCGTGCATTCAATTTCAGGGAGTTTGATTTGTGATTCATGAAGTACAGAGTGCACAAATCGAAAAGTGTACCACGTCTTCACTGACCCATTTCGTAGAAAGCCAAGCGCTACGAGGGTCCATACACCAAACCGGTGTCACTTGTTGATTTGGCTCAAGATCGGAAAAGCCCGACGTGCTGGGCACCCCATGTCATAACCACAGGTTATGAGCCCAACTCGGCCTTTTTGATTTTCCAAGTCCACCTTCTACCGTAGTGAGTACGGGGAAGTGTTGGTCCCCATGGATCAGCGACGGCGCCGACAGCAGCGGTCGCGAGAGCGGAAGGAAGCTGCAGCTCCGCCGGTGGAGATCGGTGTGGCCGATCGCCGGCTGGATGCGCTGATCGAGGAGGAGCTGCAGGGCAAGGCTGGGAGGGCGCAATCAGTGCCTGTGAGGGCAGCTGAGGTGAAGCGGCTGGGTGCAGCTGCTGGGGATGGATCTGGCCATGGAGGGGATCTGGCCATGGAGGCCCTACTGTGGTGGCTGCATCGAGCGGTCATCAAGGACAACAGGAAGTTCGACAGCTGTTGAATGACCCAAGAGGCCAGGTGATGGGGCTTGGGCATTTGCAGGAGGCAGTTCGGCAGTCATTTGAAGTGTTGCAACATGCTCTTCAAAGGCCAAGTTCCCAGCCGACCCTACTTGATCCTCTTCTTCGGCCTGGTGATCAGGGAGGTCATGCCGGTACCGGATGTGGAGTTCTCCCAGGGCACGGGCTGGCGGCGGGCACTCCATTGCGGCAGATGGAGCGCATGGGGACATCACCATATATGGCTGGAGCAGGACGTGATGATCTACATCCTCGGGTGCTGGAGCCTTATCCCACCACTCCGGTGGGACCATTGGGGACAGTGAATCCCTTTTGGAGCGCTTCGGTGCAGCAAGCGGCCAAGGGTGAGTCACATGTTCGTGAATCTGAAGTGGCTAGGGGCCAACATCCTGCACCAAGTCCAGGTATGGGACATGTTGAACGTCTTCGAGAACGCATCTTGAGGGAGGCCGAGGAGACCTTTGCTCGGGAGGTGAAGAAGATGACGGACGCTGGAGATTCGGCATCATTCACATCAGTGCCGAGTGCGAAGGCGGAGGGACCGCAAGAGCCCTACCAAGCTTGGTGGACCACTTGACACTCCTCCTGGTCTTGCTCCAGTACACGATCCTCGAGGTCATGGAAGTGGATTGAATGGGGCGGTGAACGTAATGAAGCCGCTGGATTCGGTGACAGCTGCACTGCCTGAGGCAATGCGGAACCTGGAGTTGCCACAGTTGCCATCACCTTCGACTGAGAATGCAGCCTTACTGTTTGGAGACTGGCTGACGGTGATCACTCCGTTGATGGGAGACCTCAGTACGTCGTCCAGGGAGCTTTGGGATTGGGTGCAACGAGAGGTGACAATGAATGGCTTTTGGCGACACCATTGGGACGGTTGAGGATCAAGGTGGAGGAGCAGGTGTCCCCACGGTTCCAACGATTGGATCAGCGGGCGAGCTCAACCTTGCTGGCAGCGCTTCCGGAACCGGTGAGAAAGGACATCGTTGCAAGTCGAAGGGTGGCTACTCAGGCGATCTTGTACAAGCTCTTCACCATCTACCAACCTGGTGGAAATGCAGAGAGGGGCAATTTGTTGCGCAGCCTGACGGAGGTGAAGTGCGGCAGCTCCATCCAGGATTAGGCGCTATTCGAACTTGGCGCAGGTGGATTTGTCGAGCGGAAGAACTGCATGTAGCGATCCCGGACTCGATGGTCTTGATTCAGGCCTTGTCCAAGGTTGCGGAGAACCTCACGAAGCATGGAGGAAGCCAAGTGGGATTCAGAATTGCAGCGGCTCGGCAGGAACTTGAGGTTGATCGGAGGCCCACGCTGACCACCACCAAGGAGTTCGCAGAGTTCCTCCAAGCGGAGGCGGAAGATCTGGCTTTGACTATGAAGTTACATTGGTGGCATCTGAGGCTGAATTGGTGGCATTTGAAGTTGAGATTTTCTGACAATGAAGCTACAAAAGCTTCCCAGGAATAAGCTCCACTACCATGCATGCTGCAACATTGCATGTTGCATGCTGGAAACTACAACACAGCTAGCTGTGCACGCTGGAAACCACAATGCGCAGATACCACCATGAAAATTGCAACATTGCATGTTGCATGCTGGGAAAAAATTAGAATGCAACATTGTGTGTTGGAGACGGGAAACTAGTGCTCCAACTAAAATTTGTGTTCGGGTTGGAGATTCGATTTTGGCACCAAAAACTGAGCGCATAGATATAACTATCATAGAGTGTGTTATCTCGTTTCGGTTTTGGAATCTTCTGCTCTCACCCCGCCCGCCCTCTGCACCGTGCCACAGATGTGGCACGTCTCGGGAATCAGCCTGAACCTCTTTGAGGTACGTGCTGCACAGCCGGAGTAAGGGTGAATCCTTTGGAACACTTTGGGATTGATGGTGCTTGGGAGTTCTTATATATACTGTATATATATGTTTTTTGTTTTTAAAGTTAGATTCTGTAATGTATCAGTTTTCAAACAGGTGGGCAAATCAAGCAAAAGAACTCCGAAGACCATAGATCACCTGTGATTCGATTGAACTCTCGAGAATATAGTCCTATAGGGTCTACTAGCGAGGGCATTTTACCTACTGGCCATCACCTCCTGCCTACTAGCGATGGCATCCTACCTACTAGCGATGGCCTGTGGTGGGGATCACTCTCGCACACCCGGCAGAGATTCACGGCCACCGGCAGGCTCAAGAAGCTCGGGGCCACGCAAACAAAGGCCTGCAACGCATGGGATTGGGTTCGGACAGCCTGTGGTATTTCAAGAATTGGCAGATCCTTTTGTTTTTTGAGATCGTTGTTTGAAAAAGGCTTTAAAAAAGCTAGTCCGGTTGTAAGTGTGAAGATTTCTCTCGGCAAGCGTTCCCTCCTTTTCCCGCTTCATCCCGCTTCTTTAGGTTGTCCATTGGTGATAAGATTCAAGACTCCTACATACCACTAGGAGACAAGCACAGACCTATGGCTGTGAACCCCGGCTGTGTGGCACAGGATTGAGACTGCTTTGAACAAAGAACTGAACTAACTAAACTATGAGGGAACCAAACAAGGAACCAAACTCCTGGCCAACACAAAATGGAAACATGTGAGGGAACAGCTTTACTTTTGAATGCTGCTCCTGGCTGCCAAGAGGGATTCGCGCTGCTCCGAACTCATCCATGCAGCATAGGCTGCCTTCCGGCGTTCATTTCCTGGTGCCATGTTTGATTTCTCGATCCACTCAGAAACGAACTGGACACAAGCCGTATGCATATTGTTCTTCTTGTTGTCATTTCCAGCTCCATCCTCGCGGAGGACACCCTTGGATACATACTTGTTGTGCCATGCTCTCGAATTTTCACGATGGATTCGCCTTTTGCGGTCCGTTGCGTCCTCCGGAGCCTGGTGCTCCACACGGTCACCCTGGTCAACCTCAACCTCGGGGACATCAGGCCCAACAGGGACATCAGGCCCAACAGGGACATCAGGCCCAACAGGCTCTGAAGGAGTAGGCTCAACAGGCTGGACCAAAACCTCAGGAGCATCTGTAGGTTGAATGGGGTGTTCCCCATAGTGTTCCCCATTTGATTGCCCAGCAAATGTGGCCAATTCCTGGCGCAAACATTCATCAGGATCCTGGCTGTCTTGCCAGAGCTTCATCGCATCAATCTGTTCTTCGCTGAAGGGACGTAGGCGCTTGAGTGGAGGCCTGGTTTCCTCAGCCTCCTCAAACTGGTTGGCCAAGTTCGCCTTCAAACTTTGGTTCTCCTTTTCATAGGCAGACTCAGTGAACCTTAAGCCACATGAGCGGGGCCGATTTCAATGTAACAAAAACAGATTCAAACAAAAAGTTTTCAACTACATTCCAAACACAAATGGCACATAATGATTTGGAGGCTTGGCAGCTGTTCCACAGGCTGCGCCATGAAA